ATAGTAACAATAGACCACGAGCTGTGTCGCTTCACTGAAAACTGTGTTTTAGTTGTTTTTTGTCACTTTTAAGCGCATATAATTTTCAAGCTTGGAGTTTTCTTTCCGTTTCATTATGATATAGTAGTTGTCAACTTAACCGCATTTTTCACTTTCGTACAGTTTTCTATAGACAAACATTCTGAACTGTTGAAAAAACCTGATTGTCATTATTTGGAAAGAAAAGTGTAATCCAACAGAAACCTGCAGGTTGTGCTCTGAACAAGTTGAATAAAAACAGGTCAAAATGTAATACGTTTTCCACTGTATTTTCATTTCCTGATCATCTACAAAAAAGTATATATTAGTATAACTAAGGAGTATGCTGTTCTAATTAGTCAAATATTTTTTTAGACTGTTGAAAATTCGGTTAATTGTTTATTGTGAGAAAACTTCTGATGATGCTCAGCTGTCTAGTTTTATTTGAATTCGTTATTATACAAAGTTCTTTTAATTGTTGGAGTATGTTTCTAGATAAAATTTGTTATAACAAACTAGATGAGGTAAACTGATGTAATACATAGGTCTACATTATTGTGAAGAAACTAATCAACAGAAAATTGTTGTTATACTCATAGTAATATCGGGTTAAGAACGTAACATCTCTGAGAAATCAGTTTATTTGTCTTGGAGCAAACCCACATTGGGCTATCTGCTGTGCCCACAGCGGGGAATCGAAACCCGGGCTGTAGTTTTGGAAGTCGGTTAACTTACCGCTGTCCCACCAGGAAACAAGTAGCTATGATACCATTGCCATTTCTAAGAATATTCATTTCTAATACGTAAGCCAAAACAATGGTACCTGTTGTTGTGTCTGTTTGTATAGATAGATTATAAATTTCTTCTTGAGTGGCACTATTCCTGTAGAATTTAACTGTTAATATAGAATTAAATAATAATTACAGTAGTTAAGCAATAAAACAAGTTTTCCATGTAATGAAGAACGCATTAAAAATAAATAAATGACTTTAGTAAATTATCGATTCAATTATATGTTGTGATTTATTTGCCAAAAAAAAGAGAACATCAGTGCGAAGTCCTTCAGTTCAAGCACACATGACAATGTTGTTCTAGATCAAGTTGCCTCAAGCACATCTGGACAGAACAATACTTCTTGATCATAACTACCATGTAAGTGATAGTCCTGCATCAATGAAAGAGAAAACACGACAAAACTGTTGATCATTTGAACTCAGTTGGGAAAACAAATTAAACATTTTCCTAGCAAAAAACTTGCCTTTGAAACGATCTGTTATTTCATTAAAGGTGATTGTACAAGCTCAGAAAAAAATGAAAATTTAATATATACCAATAATTTTGATATGCTAAACCACATTTATTCGGATATCCCTTTTCAAATCTTCAAAAGAGCATTGCTTACTAAAAGAATAATAATTAATTCACAAGGATATCTTCCACTCTTGCTATCATTTCTCTTGATACTGCAATTTTACACAAACAAAACTTACAATTTTGAAAGGTATACTTATGGTGGAAAAGAAGGAACCAATAAAACCATTTGTGCTTTAATGCTAAATAAAAGGGACATAAGAAAACACGTGAAGAGGAATACAGTTTCTTGGCTTTTTTTATGTTGAGGCAGATAAAGATGTTCAACTCATCTTTCCAGCCATGTATTGGTGTTTATTGTTGTTACTCTAAAAACAACTGGAAGGTACATGTTGGATATTTCTTAATTTATGGCATGTAAAGAAAAAAGAGCAAATCTGATAAAAAGATGCCTAAAAAACGTTCAGATGTTGAGATTACAATTATGGTATTTGTTTGTGATAGTGAAAGTTGCTATTTCTCCATGTTGAAAGGATTGGGTGCCAATTTGTCGCCAGAAAATTTGCAACAGTGGTTTTTTTTTCATCCTAGCAATGAAAAATGCAAGCCGTATATCATATATGATGTATGCAACATGCTAAAACTCATTTGAAACACAATAAAATTTTATGAAGTAGAATACGTGAATATACATCACTTCGTTACCTTATTTGCATACATTTCAAAAACAAGAAGACTTACATCAAGGAAATAAATCAACGCACATTTAATGACAAAAGCAGAAGAATGAAAGTTAACTTTGCAACATAAACTTTTAATTTTTCAAGTGTAGCCAATGCCATAGAATTTTGCAACAAAAATTTGAACTTGCCTAACTTTAAGAGCAACAAGCCCACAAATAAATTTATATATAGATTTGATAGAATCTTTCATTTATTCAACTCCAAATTCATTAGTCAAAAATTACAAGAGTCGAATGAAAAGTTTTAACGAATCATTTTGGAAAATATTTCTAGTAGAAACAGAAAAATATATTTTCAATTTAACAGAAAACGCCGGGCAAAGAATGTAAACAGTTCGTCGTAAAATATCATTTACTGGGTTTCTAACTGCAGTAAAATCTGTGCAAAAAATTATATGAAATTTAATGCCATCCTGTTCACTCTTCTTGAAGTATCTTTTAACATATAAATTACCCAGGATCACTTGCAACTCTTTTATTATATTCTATTTTTGCTGCTCGTAGGTCGTCTTGTGGTTTTAATAACAATCATACTATTTGACACACAACTGCATGTAAAAGATTGCTCATGTGTCATGAAATAAAAACTGCACTATCCAGGATGAAATATTAATTCTAGATGTCACAAAAGATCTCGTTTGATTTCCTAATTGTTCTGCGGTTGTGTTAGACGTTTGTGGTAAGCAGATATGATCATAAACATCATGAGCTTATGTATATAGAACAACCATGATTACGAAGATGCACCAAACTGCACACCTCTTTCTCTCTGTAAGAAAGCAGCTGTGGGTTATATGGTTGGTTATGCAGTCAGAATGGCACGAAAATGAATGCATTGTACAAATTATTTAGAGTAGATACTCAACAAATGAAAATCCTAGAAAACTGTCAACTTTACAACAAAAAAGAAATAGAGATGATTTGGTAAAGGCACCAGCAAGTGTAATTGAAGTATGTAAGGCACCAGCAAGTGTAATTGAAGTATGTAAGGCACCAGCAAGTGTAATTGAAGTATGTAAGGCACCAGCAAGTGTAATTGAAGTATGTAAGACACCAGCAAGTGTAATTGAAGTATGTAAGACACCAGCAAGTGTAATTGAAGTATGTAAGGCACCAGCAAGTGTAATTGAAGTATGTAAGGCACCAGCAAGTGTAATTGAAGTATGTAAGACACCAGCAAGTGTAATTGAAGTATGTAAGGCACCAGCAAGTGTAATTGAAGTATGTAAGACACCAGCAAGTGTAATTGAAGTATGTAAGGCACCAGCAAGTGTAATTGAAGTATGTAAGGCACCAGCAAGTGTAATTGAAGTATGTAAGGCACCAGCAAGTGTAATTGAAGTATGTAAGGCAACAGGAAAGTGATTTGGGAGACTTCTAAAATCCACAGATGGTAAACTTCCTCATGCAACTAAAATTAGCCTTGGAATTCAGATTGCTGTTTTGAAAGTATTTTTGAATGGAGTTATCTCTGGTTTGATTGTACAACAGAAGGTAAACATGTTCATAATTGGATAATGTGTTTATGCAAAAATACGAATACATCACCTTGCTAGACAACAATCTGCAAAAGTTGTAGGTGAAGAGCAGAGAAAAAGCTTTGTAAGTTAATTTTATTCGAACATCAATAGTTTCAAAGTGTGTGAAGTATAGAAATGTTTGTACAACATCAAAAGTGTATAGGGTGCTGCTTTTCAAACATTCATATGTATATAGCACATTTATCAACAAATTATCTTATAATCTGTAACATTAAATATAAAAAATGCATATAAATATTGTAGTATAACTTATGTTGATTCAGTAGTAGAGTGGTTTAGAATAACATTTTCATGATGTAGTAATAGTTTTGTGTTTCAGTATTTATACAGTACTTTCTACTTTACCATTGACTTATAGAAGCATCTACCGAAATTTGTCATTTTCCTAGTAATAATATAGCAGACTAATAAAAGCAGTTTAGACTAACACAATATTGTCAGTTATTTCTCTCTTCATTTATACAATACGATGCTAGTTTGACAAACATGTATTTTTGCTATTTATATAGCTGTTTTCTTTTCATAGTTACTATAATAACAAAAAATAATATATAAATAAATTTAAATTTACAAAGGCAGTAACAAAAAATACCGTAAACTAAGATCACCAAAACTGAAAGAGTGACATGATTACAAAACATTCAACAATAACGTGGATATCCTTCCCATTAATACGGTTACACTCGATAATTTATGGACAAAACATTGATACTGCTTGACGTCAAGTGTTAATTCAGTGACACTAGGCAATGCGCAATCGTAGAACATTAGTTGACAAAATTTGATGTTACATAGATAAGTATTTTACTGGCTTTGTAGAATCTACTCTCTGGCTTTTGGACTTTTTCATAAAAAGCTCTGGCAACCCTTGATTATAAAAAGTTTGGACTTAACACTGATCTTAAGTTAGCTGATATTAGCAACATTCATGTTCACTCACATGGTCCAGGGCCAATCAGTTCTAAAACTAAGTTCAAACAGTGTCCATCTCCAGAACAGCCAGGTGCGAGGAAATGAATGTTTCAGTATTGTTACGTCTCCGTTTGTTAATTAACTTTCCGTAACTTCGTTCCGACGAAACTTTAGCGACACAAGTTCTTACTTAATAAAACTGGTTTATTCTTTCTGAATATAACTTTATCTTTCCTTGAATATACATTGATAAATTGTTTCTCATAACGCTCTAAGCATAGTTGGGGACTAGGACCAGGACTAGAGTCTCGAAAAATAACTTTTAATAATAAAACCAGAACATACTTAGCTGTGTTTTAACTACTCAGTTTTTAACCTTATCTTTATTGGGCTCTCGAAGTTACTCTAATAAATAAATTACCTCATCTTTATTGGGCTTTTGAAATTAACCTAGAAGTTTCGGAAGCACCACTTACCAGTAACTATTACAACAAGGACTAGATTTTCTTTCCTCATCTTTGAAATGATACAGGATTGATGGTTCTAAGCATGAACGCAGTCTTTGATCAGTGAAACGTAAATACGTAAGGCTGTACGCAGTATCTCACATAACTCCACCGCTGAAATACGCCCTAGTTTTGTTATACACGTTCATATAATATCGGATTTGACCAGTGAAAGAATAACTCCAAGTAGTTTGTTTATCATCAAAAGTTTTAATGGCCGAAAGTTGGCAAACTACGGTATAATGCAACTTTAGTCTTTAGTTCGATGCAGGAATCACATCGATTATTCTAAGGTTTTTCTTTTTTTAAAAAAAAGATCTATAAAGTAGCTTTTTTCTGTGTTTATCAACGAAAATTAAATAATAAAACTGAAAAGTCAAGTGCAAATCTTTTGTACAAATATCAGAATTTAAAATCGTTAGAACTTCGTTAACTGTATAACGTCAGATCAACTACGCACTCTTTTTCACACGCTCTCTGCACGTTGAACTTGTTCGTCTAAACATACGTCCTCTTCGCACTTGTCTAAAAGACTTGGTCGGTGGAGTTACCGCGAATCTATCTTATCACCATTGGCCATGCTAGCCTGGGATTGGATGAAAAATAACGTAATTTCATAGCGGTAGCACGTGCCCTGTGTCAGTCCTCGCAACGTTGGTTTGGAAAGGTCTTACTGGCAGATTTCTCGACTAACATATTATTGTGAAATCTTACATGTAATATAAACAGTGTTTTTAACATGAACCTAACGACCATGCACATGCATAGAATTATGTTTCAGAAATACGAAAAACAAAAATATCTCTCAATGAAACAAATGATTTTCAAACCACACGTGTTATCTCAAGCAGTTTGGTAAGTATATGATTTTATGTTATTTCAGTCCAATGTGTTAATAGTAGCTTTATTTACATTAGATTTCACTTATTATGAAAAGCAAGGGCTATAACTTTAAAAAAACATAATTCATTGCAAACAAGAATCATTAAAACTGTATTTATATAATAAAATTAACTAATATTAAGTTCCTACCCTTTAACACAGAACAACAAAACACTGTATCTTGATGGAAACCACTCCTAATACACTTGATTATGATGTTTAAAAATATATTAAGCTCAGCATTTAAAAGTTATTTAATAGATAACTTAATGGTTAAGAAACACAGCCAAATTCAAACATCTTCCAAGACGTACATTTGAAACGTCAACAAAGAATGAACCAATACACTGAGTCGAAGTGGTATTTTTTATTCATTTTCTTACTTAGCTTCCTCGTCTAATAACACTTTAATGTGAGTGATTATAGTACATTCAACATCTATAGTTCTCTGCATCTGTTTTAGATTGTTAGTTGATAAATTCGATTGGTTTAGACTTAGTAAACATGTTTATTTCAATTTGTATTTGGTATTTAGACCTGCAGTATATCTGAAAACTTATAATACTAAAAATAGGTTTTCGTCACAAGCGGTGGACACATCACAGATAGACTATTGTGTAGTTTTGTACTGAACAACAAATGAACGAATGAGTTTGTATTTATGGCAAAGCTACTATGGTTATCTGCCTAACATGTTACTTCCCGTCTAAGGGATTGATCCTTAGAACGCGCTCACAGCACGGATTGTTTAATTCAAAGTTTTGTGTTTACTCTTCTAGCTACAATAGTAAGATTCACTTTTCCTACGATTACAAAAAGGAAATAGCCCACGTTAAAATTTATATAATTTAAACACATCAAGTGAGACTAAAGTACCAAACTTAAGTATGACTGCAAAATAAATCAAACACTCTTGAAACAAATGCTAACACATTTGTGCTGCAAATAGCGTAAAGACGTGTGAAATCTGAAGGAACGCAAAAACTATTCAACCAAAATAACAAGTTTCAAGAGATGAAAAAGTAAAAAGTTCCACCCACTAAAAAAAAGTAAGGATATAACAAACGAAAAACTAAACTTAAACTAGTACGTGGTTTAAAGAAAACAGTATTTTTTTGCTATCACTAAAAACGAACAAGTGAATCTTACAGGCAGGAAGTCTTAATGTTTATATTCGTTACGCTTCTTCCGCTTCCCTTCCTTATTCATAATCATATGGCCCTTTATTTATTCCCAATGTGGCCATGTGTACCTACAGTGCTAGTTTTCGTAATATACTTACATCGGATGCTAGAAATGGCCTAGTGGTTAGCGTGCTTGGTTCGCGTCCCACTGCCGCAAATCAATTCACTCCTCGTTTTGAGTCCGTGGGTGCGACATAGAAATGTTAATTAAACCCAACTACTGAACTTAAAAAGTCCAAGAGTTGTTGGAGGTAGTTACTGCCAGACTAGCTGCCTTTTCCTCTAGTCTATCATTTCAAAATTAGGGACGACTAGCTCTTCTGTAGTTTTGCACAAACTTGTAAAACAAACAAATAAATAAATCGTTGTGTCGGCTTGTAATAACCTTGCAGAATTATGGTTTTAGCAAACATATAATAAGCCCCTCAGTAGCTCAGCGGTATGTTTGCAGACTTACAACGCTAGAAATCCGGTTTCGATACCCGTGGCGGGTAAAGCACAGATAGCTCACTGTATAACCTTGTGCTTAACTTCAAACACACGTATAATAAACTTTTAAAGAAAAATAAGACAGGGCGATCAACAGTTTTACACCGAAATATATCTGACTTCATTCTATTTCTATGATAAAGGTAGCTTTTCAGCTGTAACACATTAATGTCATTTCAACTCTGTCCTGATGGTTAGTACGCTTGAATCACAATCTGCAGGTCGCAGGTTCGAATCCTTCTCATCGAAAATTCTCGCCCTTTTAACCGTGAGGATATTATAACGTGTCGGTCGGTTCTACTATTCTTTGGTAAAAGAGTAGCCCAAGAGTTGGCGGTGGGTGATGTTGTCTATATGCCTTCTATCTAGTGTGGCACTGCTAAATTAGAGACGGATATCGCAGATATCCCTTGAATAGCTTTGCACGAAATTCAGGACAACTTAAACCGTTTCAACTATTTTCGCTATAAGAATATGAAGAAGAAAAACAACAAAGTGGGTATTTTCAATTAACAATATGTTACTATTATTATGAAGAAACTCATTTCAAGTGTTGATAGTAATTTAGATATTTCGTTGTTGTTGTTTTTTTTTTGTTCAATGAAAATATTTTAACTACACTCATCACTCATCACTAATAGCATTGATAACTGTGTGATATTTATTTATAAATGTTAAAATAAAAGATGAGGAGAGAGAGTCAAAGGCAATTGAAATTTTAAAATGCTGTTTTAAAGTTTCAGAACACAAATAGTGAACAATAATCAACTATTCGATTCTTAATAATTTTTTTTTTTAACTAAGGGTAATATTAGTTTCATATGCTCATATGTGTGGCTAGCGTTTTTCATGTAAACATCGCACCCTAAACATAAATCATACTTGGTCATTTTTACTTTTATAAAAAATACAAAAGTGTGTAAGTATATAGTCGCTTTAGAAATCACTGGGAAAGCAGAATATAATAACTTGTCAGAGCTTTATGGATGGATAATCAGTAAATGATAAAAGAAAATGGAAAGAAAAACGCAAACTGATTGAAAAAGCCTCAGGAACTAGCAAGAAGAAGAAGAAATAGAACTGCCAGTGATTTTTCTTAAACTCAGTTATCCCGTGTGACTGACGCACTATCAACATTTTGAAAGGAAGGCGATTTGTCGTGATTAAGGAATCTGATTTGTTATGAAAAATACATTTTTCAGAGTATCGCTAACATGTCATTTGTAAAACCAATGTCTTTTTACACAAATTATAACAATAAATAAATCATAGAAAACCTAACCAAGCCTGTTTCTCAAACATGATTTTCTTCGTTGTTACCGATGCTTGACGGTTTTGGGTTATTCGATTAAATCTGTGTAAGTCAGCATTTAAGGATAATGTACATTTTCAGTTTTTATATCTAATTATACAGTGAATATCATGACGATTTCACAGAGAATCCCATTCTAGAGAATCGTCTCTTTTTCTTGTAATTGTTTTTTTTTAAACAAACAAGCCATTTCTGTGTCACACCTAAAATTTCAGTTTATTGTTTATAACTTCCATTTGAGAGGTTCTAAACCAAGACTTGTGAAGATAAAAATGTTCTATTCAGTATATTACTATCTACCATATTTGTCCGATAGACCAAGCTTATAAAGCAGAGAGTTCTCTTTACTTCTTAAGATTTAGAATTCTAATGTTCATTTACTTTATTAAGTTCCACATTACGTTTTCAGTACTTTATACGCCTGTCATCTTTCTGCTTAGTTTTTCTTTGTTCGTTATTATATCTTCACTTTTCTAGGTGTTATGTTGGGAAAATGTCAAGTTTAGATGATAGTTAACATTCTTATCTACTCGATGCCGAAAAGACGGGTTATTATTTTTATTTTTACTCCATAGTACGTCTGTCCAGTCATAATTCCTTAGACTTACTAGTACGTTTTGTGTCAAACCAAGTCTTTTGCTAAAGTATATAAGGCAATATTTTCTCATTTATTTATTAACTGGGAGGCATTTGAAGTAACTAAGAGAAAATAACACAAACCTCCTCTTGAACGATGTCACATATGTACCCTAAAGCTTTGAAACTGAGGAATGCCATCGTATAGGGGAAGAAATCACATGTAATGATTTAAGGGTAATTTACCCTTTTGTAACATTGGGCAATTGACTAAGGCGTTGATGCGAATGGTGGTAAAGAGTATATTTCAAAGCAAATAGTTTAGCCAAAAACCTTAGTGCCTTGGGGACAAAACTGATTACCCATGATGGGTCACACATTAACAATTAAGAAGGTTAACTGGTATCTACCCTAGACCTTATTGTTTTTCACCGTAACTAGGGAAGATGGACGCTAGCTACGTCCTTGGAATAGCGGAATTGGAACGCCAACCTCTCAAACCATCTGTATTCATAACCAATATATACTTCCAAGAATGGGTTCAATATTGATATATTTTCCCTGAAAACATTCCTCAGACAAGAAGTGGCTGGCTGTCGCAACAAGGGATTGGGAGGGCTGGTTAAGACCTTCTCTTTGATTTTGAAATTCACAACATGACCATATGGAGACAAGAGTCACAAAAGACTCTCATTAACAACAGAACCACACACATTAAGTCTGCTATAGGTCCAGTCAACGTCATAAAGATAACCAACAGAACCAAGACCACGAATAAAAGAACTTAAAGCAGTAAGCTGTTGCCTCACAAAGGATAATGAAGAAGGCTTGCTAAATAAATAGACCAGTGGCTTAGAATTCCACGACAAAGAGACGGACCATCAGATACACAGATACACAGATCAACTTGATTTTTATAAATTTTATCTCCTATGTGAAAGTGTTTGCTTACAGCTTCAATGTTTTTAACTTGATATATTTCGATATTTTTGCATAATATTATCAAAATATTCACTAGAATCGCATTTTGAAAGTACCTTTTGAACACGCTACCCTTATCATCATAACATTTGTTCAGGGCCATAGAGAATGTTGGTGAATTCACTTA